TTCTGCTGGTGAGTCGCACGGCCATAGTTTTCTTCGTTCTGTCTCGAGGAGGTCTTTGAATATCCTTCGTTTCGGTCCGATTGATTCAGCCTTCCGGACGCGCTTTCATATTGCTTGCCAATCCCGTAACTGCCTTGATTTGCAGAGTTTTGGTGTCCGTAACCAGCATGAGAGCCGCCGCCGTATTGGCCCTGAGATTGTGAGCTATCGTATTGAGTTTGAGACTGGAGGCCTCCGTATGAAACTTTGGATTGCGAGCTATTGTGACCTTGAGCTTGAGAATGAGAGCCGATATTACTTTGAGATTTATAACCCGAATTGTGTTGAGTTTGGGATTGTGAGCTAGCAGATCCATATTGACTTTGGGAATTGGCACCTCCGAGCATCGAAGCTTGCTGATAGGCAGGATGCGAATGTCCATGAGATGGAGCTCCGCCATCGAGTCGAGGATCCACGCCACCCTTCGAAGTTTTGCGCTGGTTCCGATGGTTCCGAATACTGTCCTGAGGATTCGATGCATGGAAAGATTGCTCTTCAGATAGCTTTCCATAAAACTTCGCGGAGGGAAATAAAAGCTGACCTTGGTCAGACTCTTGATAGTGAGCTCCCGATCATCTCGATCCATCTCGTTTAGCCATTTTTGCATATATTCCAACATCTCTCTCTGGATTTTGGAATTTCGGTTGGCAAAATTCGGGTGATGAATGGCTTCGAGAATCTGTCGGCGAGAAGACCAGATTGGTTATTGATCAAAGTACATGCCAAGCTGGGTGATAGTTGAACAATCTTACGCTATCGATCACTCTGTCAGGGTTCTCATCATTACTCCAAGCCTCGACCATCAAACCAACAGTGTACTTTACAATAATAACTGAAACGTTGCCGGCAGGGTCATTTAGAATATTGGAGAAATGGTCTTTCGCCAAAACACTATGAGTAGGATCTGATGCCTGTGAAAACCAACAATATAATTGAATAAATGTCGATTAGGGTGGGCTGAGAGCCTAGCCGCGCAAGGATGGCTTTTGAAAACTAGCTGAGAAAGACACTCACATTTGGATCGTTGAAAACGGTCTACATCAAGTCATAGATTTATGTTACTTTTAATTTATGGAGCTCAAAGGAAGTGAATGTTTTGCACATACCCATTGGTCGTTGCCTGAGATGACAGCCTGGCTGCCTTCTCCAATAGCAGAGCTTGCCTGGAGAAGGATTGGTCTTACAAACGGATCGATTGTGACCATTATCCATTGCGCGAGGGATAATGAAAGATTTTCTAGCATTGAACTTAGCCCGGGAATTCCTTGGATGATCTCCTCGATCCCTGTGGTTCAAGTCACGAGTAAGGCTACCAGATTGAGGCTCATGTAAAGCCGACGTAAGGACTCACGTCGCATCAGATTATCTCGAACTTTAAAGAGATCCCAGATTTTTGCCTGCAGCTCGGCTGGGGCTAATTGATCGATGCGACCCTAAAAAATGTCGCATCATAAATCGTAAAAGATCGTTCAGTGATAGAATCATCGTGTCAGTGCTTATTTTTGTACTCACATCAAGATCAAAAGCATGTTTTTTCTCATCCATAGTGTCCAGATCGTGTTGAACGTCCGAGCTTCCTCCGCCTAGCGGTAGCTTGCTCAACAGCGACTTGATCAAGTTCAAATTGATGCCTCCAGGCTTCTTATTGGCATCTTGGGCACCATCTAGCTGGGCAGTCAGATCGGCAATGGAAGCAGACGAAAGTTTATCGCTTGCTTCGCCAAGCATTGAGAAGCAAAAATCTGCTCCAGCGAATGTTCCAGTTACCAAAGGGGGTACCGGACCATCGGGGCTGTTGACTTTGACTAAAAATAATAATGAATGTGTAAGCCTGTGGTGATTGCATTAGTTGAGATGGACATACCATTCTCTCCTACGTGCGCGAATACATGCTTATGACCAAGCTTTTGCAAAGCTAGTTCGCACCAATTGCCTTAATGGTAAAAATAATGGCAAGGAAAATAAGGTAAAGGTAAGAAAAGCGGAATTTTATTATAAGATATTGCAAGCCCAATCTAGTAAGACTTACTATGAGCAGAAAAGTCTTCCAACGTATGGAGACCAGTACCAAGCAAACGGAAGCTTTCAAATTCTTTTTCCTCATTTCCTTCTTGTCGAGCTTGGCGTCCAAGCTCAATACATTGTCGAAAGACTCGCCGAATACAAGCAGTTGACGTGTCGAATCCTTGGTCCTCCGACGCTATGTACATCTGAGGTGAAAGATAGATGAGCAACCCGGTATGGCTCGAAATTGATGGAAGCTTCACCTTCATTCCATTTCTTTCGTCAATTCGAAGTTCGCGCGCCTCATCCACAGGTGGTCGTAGACGGGGGTCGTATTTCCTTGGATCTTCGCCTTCGGCATATCCTTTTGGGTTCTAAAAATAACGAAGAGCAGTTGTGAGCAGAGCTCGGACCAAGAGACTCAGATCCAAATGGGACTCACATCGATGTGTTCTGTGAGTAAATATACCGAAAGTCGTTCTCGTGTAACTTGAAATTCACGTGTCGCATATCCTAACAACAAAATATTAGAGCACTGTCACCGACGATTGCTTTGGGCGTCGACTTACCAAAGCTCAAAAAGCCCATAGTCATAATACATATGACCAACGATTCAGGAGTCATCGCTTTGAAACCAGCAATATCGCAAACTTGCGAAAGATCACGCAGCCAGTCTGTTCCCAGTGTCCGCGTTGATCACATCAGATAATCCGTTAAAAAAGGGATTTGAAATGCAAAGGTTGGGAGGCTGCTTACTTCCAAAATAAACTCTCTTGACATCTAAACCCGAAAACTTTTTCCCTCCTTTGGATCCACCGCCAATCTTGCCTGAAGCTGCACCCATGAGAGCACTAGCAATCGCACCTACAATTGCACCCCCACCCTGGCCAGCAACTTTGACAAGACCCTCTAATGAGTCTATGAGTGGCAAGACAGAAGTTGAAAATATCAGTTTTGAAGTTAAATTGATCAGCAGAAAGACGCTGGATATCGCAAAGAAAGACGTCACCCTCAATGTCTCCATGTCTCCAGGCCTGAATTTGAACAAAAACACGGAATACGATTATAGCAGAGTCAGAAAAGTGATGGATCACTCTTATGTACGATATTTTTCGGACCAAAGGGAAATTTTAATTACGCACCTTGCCTTTGAGATAAGCCGCGTCAGGGATGTTGCCCTAGATATAAGTCAAGACAGAATGATCACCGGTGAGCAGATGTACCATAGAAAGCCAGGGGAAACATGAGTAGCCTTGCTGGAAAAGCCTGTCAAGTCAATGCAAAAATCCACTCACTGAACCAAAAGCAGAGACAGAGGAGGCCAAGCTGATCAACACGATCGCACAGAACAGGTTGGTCGCCATGCCTGATGGACTCATTGGTTTGCAGGAAGTACAGCTGAATACCATGATGATTTGCCTTGTGTTTATATACCTTATGAAGTATCCTGAAAGCTTTCTTTTATTTTCTTGAGATAGGAGTAGTGAGTGAGCTTGCGAAAAGTAGTTGTGAGTCGAGTGAAGCGGAGTTGGTGACTAAAAGTGACGTCATCGCCGTCCGTGTCGGATCTCGCAATATTACCCTGCACAGCGAATCGGAGCGGATATCTCAGCACGCACCGAGCTTCACCTCTTCCACTCCAGTCTGCAACCGGCATCGAGTAACCGCACAGAACTGCCCAGACATTGCCAATATTGTCACACCAAGTTTGAGAATCTCCTCTCCACAGGACGGCGCGCAAAGGTTAAAATTCCTTAGTCTTCATGAGACCAGGTAATGTATGTTACACCAGCGCTCGGATTTTCACTCCATGCTAATTGGTTTGTTCCCCCCACCCCAGGAATAACTTGCAGGAAACTCTAGGCATATGAATTTGGTACTACTGATCTAGGCAAGCACTTCACATTCCTATGATCTCATTTTGATTAATTCTTTTCCTTCTCATTTTGTAGTGGAAACATATTCCTTCCTTCCTTATAGTAAGTAATCCAACAGAAATTTGGTTCCATAATTGTCTCCATCAGTGTTTTGAGTCTTCATTTGATGTCATCTTCCATTCAAAAGGTGTTTAAACACCCTCTTGTTTCTTCTGTCCCAACAGTCAAAGACTGGGATGATTCCTTACTGATCCTCCCCCCATTTGCTCCCATCACTGGATGTATATATTGTTTAAGAAGAATGGATGGATTTTTATTTGTAAATCTCAGAAACTTAAACAGACTAGCTACAGTAGTAAGTCATTGAAATTCTTAATGACAAAAGAACCAAAGGAATGATGGTAAAAAAAAACTCTTGGAACCTGAAAAGATGCAGTGAGAAATGAAGAGGAATGATGCAGAAACTTTCAAAATATAATTGTACAGATAAATCGAATCAATGTAAGCAAGAACTTATGTTTGTTCTATCTTAAATCTAAGAGTATGATGATCACCAATCAGATGGCATTTATTAAGAAAGACTGATAAGTAGTAGCGAAACCACCCTTTGTCTGTGATCTTGAAGGGAAGTATCACCCGTCCTATGTCCCCGGGTTCTTCCAATGCATTCAAGCCAGCCAAAAGCAACCGCCTCATCTCGGATGATTGTCCAAACCAACGAGGCCATTTTTTTACAATCTTTGAACCAATTTCTAATAATTCTGGGTACATATCTAATATGGCTTGAATGTAAGCTCTACGGACATATTTGCTTTTACTCGGATAGCTTCTTGAAGATGGTCCCATTCCTGCAACAGAAAACATCTTATAGTTCCTTGCCATGTCAGCCAAATGAATGATCCTTGATGAGACCAGTATGAAATGATATTCATCTTCAATCTCTTCTTCATGACAAACTAGTTTGATTATTCCAGGGTGAAGGTTCTGTTCAATAAACTCCAAGAGTTCACAGATTGCTCCCGATAAAATTAGTTTTCCTGAGGTATATTTGTCATAATAATCATGAGGGTGATTGATCTTGACCAGGAGGCTTATAAGATTTTCTGCATCATGCTTTAATTCTTCTTGGTTTTCAATATTCAGATTGATTGTCAAGTCTTTGTTCACTTGAGGTTCTGAGGGTGTTAAGATTTCCTCAGATTTTTGAGCTTCTGTCAGGTAGGTTTTGTATTTGTTAAAAGAGTTGGTGAGATTATGCCATTCATCACGTAGATATCTGTGCTCAGATAATTCATTTCCTAAATCCTTTATGTTTGAAATTAATCTAGAAAGATTTGTCTGCAATTTTTCTTTCTGATCAAAGGCTATCATGGTATGATTTTTCATTTAGAAAAATGTTAGTCTATATTTCACCCAAAGGATTAAGTCTTGAAAGGAATGAAAAACTTGCCATCATAAAACTTGAAACCAAATGGCCAGAACCAATGTGCATTGATGTCTACCAAAGGACTCCATTTGCAATATGGTGTCCACCTGATAATATTTTCAGATTTGTTCTTGGTGAACAGATTTGCAAGATCCAGAATTTCTGTGTGTTGAAAAATACCCCTTATGGTCTTAGAATCAATGAATTCATTCCTATAGAGGAAATCAATCATTTTAAACAAATGAGGAAAACACATTGTCCATACATAAAGAAGCTCTTCAGAATGAAGTGCAGATTCCTGATTGACTCTATGATCAAGAATATGATCAGTCATCTTCTGCACAAAGTTGACTGCAAACATTTTCCATGTCTCTTCTGGAATCAAGGATAGGATTTCAGGGGGAAAGTTGTGGAGCCAGGCTATACTTTTATCCTTTCTGAAGTTTTCCAATATAATCTCAACTAGATTTTCATTCTGCCATTCTGAACTTTCAACATTCATGAAATTCTTTAACCTATCTTTCTGCAAGATTGCAATTTTCTTTTTGATTTGTTGAGAAATGGAAGCTTTACCACCTGGATTTACATGTCTAACTGGCTTTTTTGCTGTATTGTCTGATTTTGAAATCTTTGAGTGAGAATTTATTATTTGCCAGAACTTGACTTGTTTGTAGATTGATAATTCCTGTTTGAAAGTTTGAGACAGTTTAAATGCATCAAAATAATTTTTGAGGAGGCCATTGGGATGCTCCTTTCTTGAGCTCAGTCTCTCAAGCATATCACCAACATCCTAAAACATTGCTTCAACTTCCCTTGAATCTCCATAAAGTGAGGCCAATTTCCCTGTTCATCCATCATCAAGTAAGTTTCAATTACCAACCTATACCATTAAGGGCTGAAAGATGGCAGTTTGGATGGAGGTTCTCTGGGTGTGTCTCAAGTAAATCTATATACATCTGAACAAAAATTCCAAAAAAATAAAACTAACTGTGTTTTTCTCTATTTTTCATCACCTTTGCATCTGTTATGAAGAGAATTGTCATGAGCATCAAGCTAAGATCAACCAGGTTGAACCCGTAGACCTCGGAAGTAATCATAAATGATAATGAACTAACAATCTTCATTCTTCAAACCAGCAAATTGTGGCAATCCTTTGATGTATTTGAACAAGTATTCTCTGTCTTCATCATCAGCCTCAGTAGGAGTCAAAAACAGATTTTTCTTCGAGGTGGACCACATCGAAGCTGCTTTGTCCAAAGCCTGATGTATTCTCCCCTTTGGTGTTGGCGCCGGAATGGCTTTTCACATGATGCATCAGATACAGAATGATCAGAGATAATTGGGATCAAATCAACAATGAAGGCAAGATAATGAGTGTATCAAAAAATTGGAATATAGATCAGGTTATTTACCCCATAGGTGATCACCAACATTCCTCTCGATGTTGGATTCAACTGTTGATTTATCAATGGTCATGCCAAACGTAGCTGAAGCAGACCACATGCTAACAAGCATGAGTTCGGCAAGCATTTCCAGTATGGTTTGATAGGAAAAAATAGCAGAACGTGATCAGAACAGGCGGGGATCAAGGTGACTTATATAGCCCAGACTGATCAGAATTGGTTAATCCCCCACAGAGTCAGGCCAAGACAATCCCGTTTCAAATTTCGCTACAGGTAAGGTATTTGTACCTACTGCGCGCCAGATATTCAAGGTCTACAGAGACTATACATGGGTGCAAACCTTTTTTGCTACACTTCAGTATGTTGCACTGAAGTCAAGGCGTGACTAAGCGTGATAGTGGCTGGTTATCTTGGACGATGACCTGAAGGCCGCTGAAGCAAAAACAACTACGCCTGGCGCTACATCAAGTGCGCAGAACTGGTCGCACTACAGGACATCGACGATTATCGATGTCTGCACTGAAAATGGTCTACTCATAAGGCGTTATAGACGCAGTACGTTTACCTCGTCAACTCGGTCAGACAATCGGTTCCGCGAGGTGCTCCGCGTGTATGTTTTGGTGTATGAAACTTTCACGAAGCTTTGATGACCGGCCGGAGCAGAAAAAGAAATGAAACCAACCCACAAATCGATTTCAATCAATCAACCATTTAACATTTATTCACTGATACTTTTTTTTTGTTTTGATAATTAGTTAATGATTGTTTTTGTTGAATAATGATTTTGAATCGATTTATTTCAACTGAACAATAAGATATAAGATAGTCAAGTAAAAGAATAATGTATAAACTATTGAAGTATATATGTATGTATATATTTTTATAAAAGAATCTCTCTCTCTCTCTCTAATTTTTTTTAACTAAAATCAACATACAAAAAGAAAAAAAAGAAAAGGGGGGAAGAAGGAGAACCAATTGAACAATGAACAAAAAAAGGGGAAAAAAGGCACTCACAAAACATGAAACACTCACAAGCACACAAGAAAAACAATAATAATCATAGAAAAACGTTGAAAGAGATGAAGAGAGAAGAAAAAGAAAGGCAGACAAGAGAAAGAAAGAAAAGGAAAAGAATAAACCCAAAGAAAACAGAGAAAGAGAGAAAGATTATCTCCTAGGAGGTCCATACCCTCCCTGTCCACCAGCAGTAGCAGCAGTCGCGGGGCCGACGCCGACGACCTTAGAAGAAGAAGAAGAAGAAGGCGGGATCGACAGATGACTCATATTGGGAGGATGATGATGAGTTGAAGAAGAGGTCAAGGAGGCATGCTGATTCGAGAGGTTCTTGTCCCTTCCGTTCCCACCACCGCTGCGATGAGGAGTTCCTCCATTGTTGTGAGCATTTCCTGAAGTCGATTTACTCGGAACAGGAGAGAACGTTGATCCACCAGTTGCGATATGGCCTCCATAAGTCCGATGATTGCCTCCGTTTGAAGATGTTTGATGAGGCGCGATTTGTTGTTGCTGCTGTTGTTGGGGATGGTGGTGCAGTTGGTTAAGATAAGGATGATTATTATTGGCAGGATAAGACAACCCAGGGTGATGGTTTCCATGTCCGGGTCCCGGTCCTCCTGGGAGCAGATTAGATGGAGGAGGCGGACCGACGGCTTGGTGCTGCAGCGCAGGATGATGGAAGGGATGGGCATGAGGGATATAGTGATGAGTTGGTGTGGAGGCGTGCGGAGGCAGTGGGGGACCGGCTACGATGGCTGGGTTGTGGGCATGAGGTTGGTGGTGGATTTGATGGTGGCGAGGACCAGCCAGATGGCTTGCTTGGCCTGTAAAATAGAATCAGAGACGAAATCAGCAAACTGAGAAAGCTGGAGATAAGATAAAAACATCCGTACCCCCAGGTCCACTTCCATGATGAACGGCTTGGTTGAAATTACTCGGTGGTGGCTGTTGTTGTTGATGGACAGGCAAGCCAGTGGGGGGATGGAAGGGCCCGAAGGGATGCTCGGGATATCCGGAAGGCGCAGTCGGGCCGCCGGCGGAATGGTTAGCCACGGAAGGACCGTCGAGTGAGCCGGCGGAAAGATGATAACTGTGACCGGTGCCAGTCTGAGCTTTGGAAGAAGCGGAGGGAGGCGTCGGATAGTTACGATGGACGGTGGTTGGGGTGAACTCGTTGGGTAGGCGAGCGAGATGGCTACTGGTGGGCAGCGAGACCCTGGAGCCTCGGGGGGCAATCGGGCCAGGGCTTTTACTGAACCCAGATGGACCGTCAGAGATCGGGCTGGGACCAACCGTGTGGGAATGTGAGGGATAGGAGGCCGAGGTGAGCGGCGAAGGATAGCTGGTATTGGGCGAGTATGGTAGCTGAGGTGAGCGGGCGTATCCGTTGGGTTGAATCGGGCCTGGGGAGGGCGACCATGGTGCAACTGACTGTGGGCCCGGGTAGATCCCCGAATTCGACGGGTATGGTTGGTTTGCCTGGTTGCTTGGGAGGCTGCCGATCGGCACCAACTGATAGCCCGGTGGGACTTGGAAATTTGTTGGCGAGGAAAACCCATGATGGCCACCATACATATGCCCCGAATTCGAAGATGGCGTCTCGTTGTTGTATTGCGGAGGACAGCCGGGTGAGCTCAGATAGGGATGTTGAGCAAGTCCATTTGCTTTCGGTTGATCATCTGAATTGTTATTTGAGCTCATCTGTAGATTGCTGGGAGATCCTCCGTTCTGCTCACGCTTACCGGGGCCAGGGAGTTCAGACGATTTCCTGGAAGATGATGTGCTATACTGGACTGGCTGATGATGATGGCTGGATGAAGAACTAGGCTCTTCAACGGCGTTGAAATCGTTCAAAGTCCGGGGTAGAGTGGCTGGAAAATCATCGGTAATCCCCTCTAATGAGTTTTCAGTCTTGCCCGACGGTAATGGCTGACCAGTGATCTGACCATCAGGTTGTGACCAGACATTCTTTGTGTGGGAATCGAGGACGGAGAACGCCAAGGGCGATTTTGTCCATGGTGATGTCGATCCTTTTGAGCCGCTCATACACGCAATACTAGATGATCGAGTTGGAGTAGCTACTGGAGGGGTCTACCAAAATCAATCAATAAATAAAGCGTCAACGATGTCTGAATGAGGAATTAGAGATCGAACACCAGCAAAAATTACAAATGGAAATTAGATGAGAGAAATACCAGTGGTTTAGGGATGGTATTTTGAGTGGTGCTACTGGTCGGACTTGTAGGCTTAGGCAGGCAAGATGAAGGGGCCGGGTCCTGAGATGATTGGGCGCCTTCACCGGTGATTTCGCTGTGGACCATAAACATGCCGGAGGAAGAAGAAGTAGATGATAAGAGGTGAGCAGGCTTATGGAAAGCGACCTTGAGGCCGTCCGGAATCTTGGCCTTACTCCGTCGGACCGACTGGCTCTCACTCGACTTGACGGGCTCAGAAGAGGGCGCTGTGGTTGGCGATTGAATCAAGTCGGTCGAACGAGTCGGTGTAGAGTCGGTTGTTGATAGTACCGATTGGGCAATCGCTGCAGGTGTCTTCTCCTCCTCGACTGGTCTACGCCAGGATGTCGTCTCGTCTGCTCGGCCACGGCCACGGCCCCTAGATCCTGTGGGAGCAGCGCCACGCCCTCTGCCAGCTCTCGACGATCCGTCATCGCGTGGTACAAGTTCTGACGCGTTTGAAAGGGCAGATTGGGCTTTGGTAGCCAGACTAGAAATGCTGTTCTTGGGGAACTGAACATGAGAGACGACGACCCCACGGATGTATTTCTTACGAAACAGTAGATCGTCTCGTGATAATGTCCGGGGCGAGAGGTTCGCCATCGGAGGATCCCACGTCAGCACATTAACTTTGGTAGGCACAAGTGGATTCCAAAAGGATTTGATGATATGGGAGGCGAGCCGGGGCTTGGGCGTAGCAGCACCGAACTTGACGGTAAAAGCTTTCCACGCTGGGCCGGGCGAGGAAGGACGCTCCTGTCGGGTGGCGTCAAAAAAAACTATCGGGTCCCGTTTGACCCATCTCGGAGCACTCGGTGGGAGCGAGGGAGTTGAGACTGCGGTTGGCTTGGATTCAACGGTCGTTGGGATATCAAAGCGAGCAGCTTTCCGGACAGAAGAGGGCTTCTTCAGGGCTGGATTAGATAGTGCAGGTGCCAGACTGGAAGTACTGGGTATCCGAGGAGGTGCCACCGAGGTACTAGAGGATAGAGGGGCTGGTGAAGCAGAATGCGATGACGGCTTGGTTTCAGAGGAAGTGTTAACGATGATAGGAGTTTCGATTGTCCGTGGTAGTAGTGTGCGTGGTCGCCCGGCAATATAAACTGCGGTTGGCGAACTGCTGGGTTGGCCCTGCAAGCTGCTGGAAGGTTCCTTGAGTTGATGATCCGATCCCTGTCTGGTTGGAGTAGGTTTCGGCGCGTCTTTTGAGTTTGAAGACGGCGGTGGGTTTATCGAGCGGGAATCTGTTGAAGATTCCTTGGGGGTAGTAGCGACGACCGCAGCCTTAGCCCGGGCTTCTTTGTCTGCTTCCAAGACGACTTTGATTCGAGACATTACAGTATCGAGATGAGACATTTCAGGGAGTTTAAACCCAGCTTTCTTATCGGGTGCCAACGAACGAAGGGTACCAGTTGACATGTTTGGTGAGGTATGAGAGGGTAAAGATGCGGGCGGGGAGCTCCGAATGTCAGGAGAAGGTCTGGATGCCGGTCGAGCTTCTGGTTGAGATGACACGGTTTTAGGGGCGGGTGCCGGTTCGGACGCTTTGAGATTGTCTGGCTGGATGTGTGGCGGAAGCTGACGTGTGTCGGCTCGGCTCGCTGGCTTGGACGCATTATCTTGTGAAGGCCGCCAACGATCTTCGTTCGTCGGGGCTGATGGTGCCAAGCGCTTCTGGATAGTAATTGGCTTGGAGGATTGATCAGAAGGTGCAGTTTGTTGGGGTTGACGATCTTCTACCTTCACTTGCGATGCGGGGGCAGAGGCAATTTTGGGTTTCCAGACCAATGACCGGCTGGACACGTCCTCACTTCTCCTTTTGAAAGCCTCTTCCTGAGATGGTAGGCAGGATGGCTGATCTGACGGCCGACTGGTTTTTGGCATGGGACGGCCAGAAGATTCTGGATTGATAGAATTTTCAGCCAGAGGACCAAGAGGACGAGTTGCGGCTTCCAATTTCACAACGACAGCCTCGGCCGGGGTTGATTTAGGGGATGCCATCATTGACTTGGGTCTATCTTCGGATTGGTGGGAGGGGGGTCGCCGCCACGAATCTTTAGAGTCCGACCTAGTTGTATTCGAACTTCGTGGAGGATCATTGGAGGAGGGGCGTAGGAGCAGTTTGGGACTAGAATCATTCTTCGAGTGCTTCTTGGCGCTGGCCTCCAAAGCAGCAGCCTTTTCGGCGGCCTTTTCAGCAGCCTTGGCATCTGCGGCAGCCTTAGCAGCCTCTGCAGCAACCTTAGCGGCGTCAGCAGCAGCTTTGAGTCTTGCTTCAATCTCTGCGGCCTTAAGTTTGGCCCTCTCTTTTTCGCTTTCCCGGGCAGCCTCCTCTTCCTGACGACGTTTACGGGCTCGTTCGGCTGCCGAGGTCATTTCGGATCGATGGACTTGATCCAAGTCGGGCTTCCTGTATTTAGGTGCTTGGTTGGAGGTATCTGGGGCGGTGGGCTGCTTGTCAGCGGCCTCTGAAACGTTCCCAGGGGCCTTGACGGGCGCCGATGGCGCTGGGGGAGCTGAGGTGCGAGAGGGAATAGGGGGGCTAAGAGGTTGGGAGAGACTGGTTCGAGAAGGTGGTATGAAGTTATTTGAGTCTGGCTGATGACTCGAAGGACGATGAGGCTGAGTTGAATTGATATCCGTCGATTTACCGTTGGGTCCGGTTGAATTAGGCAGACGGGTAGAGTGGGGGGTTGAGCTTGGGATATCATTGGGGACATCCCGTTGCCGCTGGAGTAATTGAACCTGAGGATGATGATCTTTTGTTTTTTCGTTTGGTTTACCAGAATATGGCTCGAATTTTCCGATCCTCTCATTGAATAGACTCTTGAGTTCGGCGCGACCCCTCAAAAAGGGAGGCATGGAATCATTCTCTTCAGTTGCCAGCTGATGATGGCTTCGACGGTAATCTTCAGGAAGTCGAGCCTTGTGACTCTGGGCTTGTGAGAGCCCACTTGAGGGGACAGTTTCGTTTCCCAGTGAGGTTGCAGGATCCGCCGCAGGGGGTACGACCTCGGTGACCTTGTACTGTGTTCCGTCACCGAATTCGACCACCTCGCCAAACATATCATCTTCATCTTCCATCTGAAAGAAAACAAATTAACTGGATGACTCAAGATCGACGAGACCAGTGATATAAGCTTACCTCATCCCAGTGACTAGCGTTGGGATCAAGGTGTGTACCTCGAAATCCATCCAAGGTCTGTAGAAGTTGCTGATTATAAGCGGCAGACGCAGCCGCCCGATCCTGAACCACTTTATCACGAGCCGCAACAGCAGCAGCCATGGATTGCGCTTTTAGTTTGGTATCTAAAAATAAACACCATAAATGTCAGTGTTTTTTTTTGATGATCTGAAGATGCGCTGCCTTTTTTAATTTATTTTTTATTTTGCTCTGATCACTTACGTTGTGCTACCTCTTGTGCGGTTGGGAAATCCGTTGCCAAATTATTGATCCCACCTCTTGTTGAATTTCCAAGCTTAACCCAGGGTGAGGAGGATGACAGAGAGGGAGAAGATGATGAGGGGGCCGATGGTTGAAGATGAGTTTGTTGAAGATATCGTAGTGGCAGTTGTTGTTGGGGTAGTTGTGGCAGATAGTGAGGAGGATGAAGGGGTAGGAGATTTATTGAT